CCAACGAAAGAAACCTCAGGCTTACTCATAAATAAAGGTATACTCTTCTGGGTGATGGAGTTGATAGTCAAAACGAAAACACCTTAAAATATCATAGGCCGATGTGAAGTGGTTTAATTATAAAAATTAAGATTTTGAAAAAAGGCCGAGCGCAATATGTACGCCTACAGTCTTCCACATTAACATATCTCATAATATGAAATTCATTAGTAATTTTATATATGTATTCTTATCACATTTCTGGCGTATTTGCTGCACGATCAGAATTATTACTTTATTGCTTTTTAATATACTCCCAAAATTGATCAGAATTGATATTTTAAAGTCATTTTTTTAATCCTATGTTTTTTTGTTGATTATTTTAGGACATGTGTAAAAATTACTATTTTGTAATAAATATATGACCGCAAACCATGCATATTGTAATTTGTTAAAAACGTTATTTTTTATTTCTGAGTCACTAATAGTATGTCTAATGTATCCTGCAGTTATAAATCCTTTAAGCTATTCTATAATATTACTAATATACAATAATAAATACACAATAAATATTGGTTTAATTAATGAGTTTTTGCAGATCTAAATCCTTTAAGCTATTCTATAATATTACTAATATAGTTAAATACACAATAAATATTCGTTTAATTAATGAGTTTTGATTTGTCTAATATTTTATTTATACATAACAGAACTTTTATTTAAAAATTCTATTATATATTTTTGCTTAATATTATTTCCTAAATCTTTTTTTTTTTTTTTTAAACAAATCTTAGGGCGATGGGAAAGATTACCATTGCACACACTTGAGTCTGAATTAGTTGTTAGAGGCATTGCTGAGCAGAACACTGTAAAAGTTTTAGATAAAGCTTCGGTACCAATTGTTAAACTCACGGACAGAGAGACACAGGTAACTTTTCATTTATTTGTAAATTACTTTATTTGCAGAACTTCAATAAAATAAAAATTGTTTCAGGTGAAAGTTGACATATCATTTAACATGTCTAGTGGTGTACAGTCAGCAGAATTGATAAAAGAATATAAGCGCAAATATCCCGTTTTATCAAAATTAGTGCTTGTATTAAAACAATTTCTACTTCAGAGGGATTTAAATGAAGTCTTCACTGGAGGAATATCATCATACAGTCTGATTTTAATGTGCATTAGTTTTTTACAGTTACATCCAAGAAGAGATTTATTTAATAATGAATCTAATTTAGCTGTACTTCTCATAGAATTTTTTGAATTATATGGACGTAAATTTAATTATGTAAAAACAGGTAAATATTTATAAACAAAAGATTATTTTAGTATTGAATTATTAGTTATAATGATTGACTGCATTTTTTACTTTCCTGCACATTATTCCCCTGACTGTTTTCAAATTCATCCAATCAGCAACCATTGTGTTCTTTCTATGATGTGATGTTATATTTCAATTTCTTTCTTTATAATTTTTCAAGTTGCTTAGATGAAGATACTTTATATATTTATGACTATTTTGTGAAACATTTAAAATCAAGCTCTATAAGCGAGAATTTTAAGAAAATATAGAATTTGGTCAAGCATTGAAAGAGCAACGAGTTCATATGTTACACATACGTTAAATAGTTTATGTCTAGCAAGAGTAATTTTTTTTATATTTCTATAATAACAGCTATAAGGTATTATTTGTTGTCCATTAGGAATCAGTATTAAAAATGGTGGCAGTTATATAAGAAAAGAAGATATGCAAAAGGATATGGTAGATGGCCATAGACCTTCATTATTATCTATAGAAGATCCTTTGACTCCAGGAAATGACATTGGAAGATCAAGTTATGGAGCATTGCAAGTTAAACAGGCATTTGATTATGCTTATTATATTAACGCAAGCCGTTTCACCATTAAATGATATTTTTAATGATTGTAATAAACATTCAATATTAGGCCGAATAATATTGGTTACAGATCAGGTATGTACACTAATAATATTCACTTGTTAAAAATGTCATAAACAGTTTCTTCAATTTCAGATAAAATAATTTTCAAATTATATTATCATTTTTAATATGAACCATTCTTATAATTAATATTTTGCCATTTCTTTGCATGTGACATATTGTGTAATATTCATCTTATTAAAACAGTCAAATTTCGGAAATTATGAAATAAATATATAAATATTATTTACACCAACTTCAAAACTAATATAATTTGCTGTAATATCACAACACTATATTTTTATAATCAGGTGAAAGAATATCGAGATTGGGTTGCAGATATGTTTGAAGGAAAATATGCAATTCGTAACAATGCATTACGTGCAGCTAGTGAGAGAGGAGGTGGCAGTACTTGTAGCCTAGACAGTAGTGGTGATTCGCCAATGGACAGTGAAGCAGTGAGTAATATTAATCTTACATAAATATTTTAATGATGTCGTATTTTTATTTGCTGAAAATGATTTTTAGGAGTCGAATCCTGCAAGTCGTGATAACTCTCCAAATAACAACAGATCAGGTTGTTCGAGTGGACCTGATCATCAAATGCCATTAGGAACAGGCAACACTTGGGTTAATCATACAACAAGCAGAATTAGGCGTTCTTTTCCTAATGTGCCACCTAAGAAAAACAAAGATAACATTAATTGTAGAAATAGTAGAAACAGAGATTATAACAATATTGATGAGAGGAAACAACATTTAGAAAGAGACAATGACTTCTGCTATAACAACAGATATAATCATCAAAGCAATATGAAAAAGCAGCAAAAACTCAAGAAAAGAATGGCAAATACTTCTCTTACCAATTTTGACAGTAAAGGTCCTAAAGCTAGCCAAAGAAATTCACAAGACTTCTCGCGATGATGAAATTAGATTCTTTATTATGGTAAAAGTAGGGTGAGTCATTGGATAAAATTTCCTGATTAGTTATAAGTGTTATTAAGTCTCTACAATGAGATTGAATTCTAATATAGGTATTAATATTAGTTTAATTTATTATAAGTATATTGACAATGTCCATTGCATTATTCTGCCAATGAAATGGAATATGCAAACTTACTTAATTTTGTACATAAGTACATTCTTTATTACGAAGATGTTATTATATGATTGTGATAATTATTTTATATAATGTGAAATATATCAGTAGACAAATGTATTTAATACGTTTGTTTACTAAAAATACACATTATATATTTTTGTTTAATATAAATATGCAATTATTATAGTGTGTCTTACGAGTAACTTGAGTTATACATACTTACTTTTTAAAGTTAAACTAATTCTGAATTTTATACTGTTTATTTCTATTTACTCATAATAATTGTTGTTAATTTAAAATATTGATGAATTCAATGTTATTTTATATAATTCCAATAGTTTTTTTTTGTAATTCCTCATATTTACTTTTTGTTGTTGAATATCCAATATTATTTTTGAATATACAAATAGTTTGATGTGAACTTCAATGTATTTTTCAATGTATATTTAAATTTGTTATATTGGAGTTTGTTTTTACAGCTTGAAGATGGCTGATGTAATTTTTTCCTTGAGAGGAGCATTGTAGTTATAAATAAGTAGTTTTAATAATAATACTCTTCACAATTTATGATAAAGTATATGTATAAGCTCGAATATCGTTAACTGTTCTTTTTTGGAGAATTTTATTTAGTTTGGAAACAAAGTTATCATCTCTAGTTATTTAAAATATATAATAAAGTATATTAAGAATTGTGTAAATATATTTATATTTGTTATATGTAGTGAGTAAGAAAAAAAATCGTAAAAAAATTTATAAAAAATGTTTAAAGACATGACAAGTCATTTTTCAAGTACAAAAAGTTATTTATTGTAAAAATAAAATTATGTAAATATTTGTAAATAATGTTTATGGCAATACAATTTGCCTATCAATTTGTTGTTTTATTTAATTGAATCAAGAACGAATAAGGATTTTGTTGTTGATAATTGTTTTCCTTACGTTTTTCTGCAATGAATGAAAATTTAATACATAATCTTTAATAGAGTAGTTTCCGAATACGATAAAGAAAATTTGTTTTAGTAAAACAATGAATTTATGGCATAAACTATAGAGTTGTGCAATGGTAGTAAAGCAAAATAATATACCCTATTCAGCATATTTCAAAATATAAAGAGCATATTGATAAAAGCAATCACATATTAATGTAAATTTAAACTGATGCAAAAGACTATTCTTATGGCAAACGAATGTTTTCTTGAAATATTTTTTAGCACATATTTATAATTGAATCGATTCGCTAGCGTGATAGGGAGTACAATCTCTATGATCTCTATAGTATCAACTTTGCTTTTGAAATCAGTAAGAAAAGGAAGTTAAAAAAGGGCTGTGCTATTTTAGATTTATAAAACTCAGGGATGTGGTGATTCTATAAGAATGAAGTAAAATAATGTGTTCGTTGTTGTCATGGAGGGATAAATTATTAAGTAAATATTCATGAATGATTCAAATTCTGAATATTTATGAGTTAGTAAGAATACGAAGCTTGAGGAATGCATTCACATTTATATGCAATGCATGTATATTCGTATTATGCATTATGGAGTCAAATAAATATAAGCGTATATATACACATAATATATATGGATATATGCTAATTCATACTAAATAAATATGTTTAGTTACGAAAATTGGAATTTTGGAATTTCATACGTAATTTTCTCATGAAGTTTCTGTTAAATTCATGTTCCAAGTTTGATAATTCAGGGTATTTTACTATAGTATTCAAACAAAGTCTTAGATGTTGTATTTGAATGAATTTAAAGAAAGCTCAAGGAAATATGATTATATCAAGATTCATACAAGTAAAATAATAATCAAGATCGTATTGAATTATCAATTTTTTATGACTAAGCCCGTTCAAGGCTACATGTGTGTGCAAAAGTAAGATATTGTCTGATACGCCATATATTGCTTTGTGTGTGTGATAAAAGTAAACAGCTCGCTGACAAAAATACAGCAATCAGCTGTGAAATGTCAGTCGTATGATTCAAAATGGCCGCTTGTAAACCATCGTACGTAGTTTGAACAAAGAGTTGCGCAAAATACTTTATTAAACAAACGGCATTTGATTTTGAGTGATTTAGAGTTTCATTGTTTATTTAAACTAATAAGACATGTTGGATTTAGAATTGGTACCTGAACGGTCCTTGGGATGCGAGCAATGGGAGTTTGTTTTGGGTAAGTTTATTATGAACGCTTTCTGTTCAATACCTTATTATAAACTATCATCATCAATTAGACTTAGGTACAGAATAAATTCATGCGATTTTTTCATTTTCATCTAATGTTAAAAAAAGTTCATGTATGTAACATTTGTATCATATCACTATAATTAGCTGATTGTAAACAAGTTGTTATCAAATATGTGAACTGTCACCCAAACGTCACATTTCAAGGTTTTTTGTGTTGATGTTGGTTACGTATTGGTGCCAGTAAAAGTGATATACATATAAAAATTTAGGTTTTTATTATTATCATGATTGTATGTTTATTTGCATAATGACGATAATTTTTCTTGTATTCCGAAAAAGATATTTTTGCATCTACGACTGAACTTGTGAACTTGAAATTCACTTTATTTTAATAAATTATATCAAAACATATACACATATAGCATGGTATACCATGCATGGTATTATATACATATATACATTTACAAGACTGTATATAAATAAATATAAATACACCATTTATATATATATACATATATATATATATATATATATATCAAAATTATAATTTAAACTAAAAATGTCTTATGGTTCAAAAAAGTGAATCCATAATTTAATTTATTAATTTTAATATTTTAAAGTTCAGGAACCACATCTGTGAAACATATAGAAATAATTACAAATAAAATTCAATACTATAGTATTATCTTTGTAAAAAGAGAAAACTTTTCGCTTAGAAAACTAAAATCATGTTGTTTAAAATATATAAACACCTTAAAAAAAAGAGTAATCATGCGAGATTCAATTTGTTTAAAGAACCAAATAAAAAAATACACACTAAAATAAAACATATTATGGAAAACTCACTTCTTCCTTTATTCTGGCATTATTTTTCCTTTTTTTGCATAATTTAATTCTTTCGGAAATTTATTTATAGGTATGCATTTTTCCCAAGCTGTTGCTATCATTCAATCACAAGTTGGACTTATCCGAGGAGTGCAAGTTTTATACAGTGATACGGTGAATATCTAATATTTCTTATGTTAAACAGAATTATATTGTTTAATTATTGTTTTATCATTTATAGAGTCCACTAGCTGTTGATTTGGCCATAAATTTACCACATGATGGAATACGCTTGGTATTCGACCCGGTTGTGCAAAGATTAAAATTAATTGAAATATATAATTTGAAATTAGTGAAGCTTAGATATTGGTATGTATTTCTTAAGAATGATTTGTTTTATTAATATATATGTTTGATGTATTTTTGATTATATCTACAGTCAATTTGTAATCGATGTTAGAATAAAGTAATTTTGAATCTAATTAAGATGATTCTTGAAATTCTATAATTTATTGTTGTAAGTTTTATTTTCAAATACTTGATATTGATCTATTGGATTGTGCATATCTTGATCATGTGAATAATTCTAGTTTAATTTTTCAGTGGTCTTCCATTTAACTCTCCAACTGTTTTGCCATCCATCGAGCAAGTTGAACATTCTTTTGGAGCTACCCATCCAGGAGTTTATGATGCAAATAAGCAGTTATTTTGTTTGCATTTTCGTGGTCTCAGTTTCTATTTTCCAGTAGATAGCAAACTGCAGGTAAAGTTTATCTAATGAAACTCTATTGTATTTATTTTCTATGTTTATAAACATAGTATACAATAGTATACTATTATGAACTGGTTGATTTATTTTTATTAATTAATATACTACAAAATGAGCAAAAAATAAATTTGAATTTTTTAATAAAAAAAATATTCAAGAAACCAATTTTTTACACATAAGCACATATATTTTTTCTTTTATTAAGGAATTAGAAGTTAAAGTTAAGAATACTTAATGGTGTAATTCTATAATTCTTACATTATATGATTTTTATTTTGTCTTAATAATATAAAACGCCAATTTTACTTGATAATAATTATATCAGATTGTCTATCACACTGAATGTACTAATAATTTATAGCCGGGCTATGCACATGGTTTGGGTTCCTTACATTTTCCAAATGGTGCATCACCAGTGGTATCTCGATGTTCGTTATACTGTGGCCCTAGTGCTCCAGAAGCCAGACCCCCAAACCTGCCCATCACTTGTTACAACCAGCAATTATATCTTGAAAGGGCCGAAGTTTTTCGTAGTCATGGACAAACTAGAGGCCTAAGAATGCATTTATATATGGAAGGTAAAGTATTTTAATCAAATCAGTTTTAGTATTTCAAACAAATTGATTTTTCATTTTAATTTAATTTTGGTTTTATATATATGTTTACTTGCAAATTTGTTTAACGTTAATTGGAAAGTGAATCATAAAAAATTTGAATAATTATATCAGAAGTACTTAATATTATTTCTTACATTATTTATGATTTTTGGTTGGGAGCACAATACAAATGTTGCTGTATTTTATTAAAGAAACTCAAGTTGAGTAAAAGGCAAACAAAACAAATATTTAAACAAAATATAAAAGATTTACTTGAAAAGTTGTAATTGCTTGTTCAAGTTGGAAGTTTTAAATGAAACAAATACTTGGATTATAAAATAGAATAACAATGAAAGGGAAAAATTATCAAATTTAACTTGCTTCAGATTCTCCAAGGATACTCGAACCACGGAAGAAAAAGATAACAAGAGAATTATTATTTGGAGACAGTTGTCAAGATGTTGCAAGCAGTCTTGGTGCACCCAGCAGGTATATATTAAAGATAGCATTACAGATTACAAAAATAGCATCAAATATGACATAGTATTTATTATTTTTTTTAGAGTTTTTTATAAATCTGAAGATAAAATGAGAATCCACAGTCCTAATGCTCATCGCAAATCTGCTAGACGCAGTGATTTTTTCTTTAATTACTTTACTTTGGGCTTGGTGAGTAATAATTCTTTTTGTTATATTAATAATTATGATCATTTTTATTAAAATATAAATATTAAACAATTTCAGGATGTTTTGTTTGATTCAAGAACACAGCGTTTGAAAAAAATTGTGCTTCATACTAATTATCCTGGACATTATAATTTTAACATGTATCATCGCTGTGAATTTCACCTTCAGTTAGCTCCTGACAGGTTAGTTAATCTTGTATATGACTATTAAGTATATACATATATGATGAGTAGTGCTGCTTTAGGGCAGGTCTCTAAGTTAAGTTAAACTTCAACTTGATTCAGGGAAGAATAGTGTTTGAGATTTTTCATTGCTATTTTCAATTGGAAACATTTTTTTAATCTATATTTTCAAGTGAAAATGGACATTGCTATTGCACAATACTAATTTATTTGTTGTCAATTATATTAAAATATAATGCAAAATCTCATCAAGTTATTGAAATAGTATATTTTAGTAAACAAGAGAACAAGTTTCTTTATGTATCTGCTTTCATTGCAGTTGCCTCAATCAAAAATTTTACATTTAATGTTAAAACAATAGGCTTTAATAAAACAGTTGAACGGACAAATTTTTAATTAGAGTTAATGACCAAATTTTTATGTTTAGTTGATAGTCGTTGACTGCTTTGAAAATATTATGATTTATATTTTTCAAAATATAAGGTGCATTAGGTAAAAAACTTACATGATTATCTACAAAGATTACTTTTGAGGAAGAAATACGATCTTTTAAAAATTGATATTAAAATTTTGCAGAAACTTGGGACTGGATAATATGCTTTGTATTTCTTCTTTGTATTGTTTTATGTCGGAAGACCTTCTAATCGCAAAATTTAAAAACAAATCTAGTGAAGGGAGTGTAGCTCAGGGGTAAGGTATCTGTTTCGCGTGCTGAAACTCTTGGATTCAAACTCTTAGTTCCTAAAAGATTCATACATTCAAAAATCACATTTGAAATATGCAAAAACCTTTCACATAATTCAAACATGCAGGCTTTTAATATTAAACGAGAAAAAATTGAAATTTATGATTTCAATATTTAAAAATCTTACAATTAGAATGCTTGATATTTGAAACCAAAAGTAACCAAGAGAGTGTTTGTGTTATAAAAAAATAAATTTGTATAAAATTGATTTTGCAGATTACCTTCTGATGCAGGACGTCTGGTAGATGTAACACCATCTCCTGTCTTAGTATCTGCATACAGTAAATGGGACTCTGTAAGTAGCCACTTAAGACCATCTGATAGACCAGTAGTTCTCAATCGAGCTAGCTCTACAAATACTACCAATCCTTTTGGTAGCACATTTTGTTATGGATACCAGGACATAATATTTGAGGTAAAATTTGATATTTATTCGTTTTGTTATATGTGAACAACTAAGATTAGATGAATACAAAGTTTTATTTGAATATTTGAATATTTTTGCAAGCGTCAAAATATGAAATTACTGGAAAATTAAGTAGCTTTCAGATTTTTGGAAAATTTAAATATTTGGAAATTTATGCACATTCAAAAAAAAATTATAAACAAATTAATAAATCAAATTTATTGCAAAATTTGAAAATTTAGAAATATTGTGAAAATTTGTGACAATTTGTGAACTGTATGTTAAAGTGTTGAAGTTGTTGAATATTTTGCGGCAATGATAACGTTTTTTTATTTCGGAACTTTGACGATATTATGATAGATAGTGCTTAACAATTACTTTGAGCGAAGGTGGCTTTGGCTTTGCTATCAGAAGATTTCAGGTTCGATTCTTCGTCGTACAAACCTGATATGAAGCAGTTTATATTAGTTTTCTCATCAAATCAAGTAGAAACAATAGAAATTTTAAAATTCTTCAATGGAAATTGAAAGTTTTCTACGAATAATTCAAATATTTACCTACTGAATCTATGTTTTTAATGTGTGTGTGTGTACGGATACAAAGTTTCGTTGACGATTTCGGGAACACCGATCAACCGATTTGAATAATTCAAAAAACATTCGATTCGTATCGATATGGAGACGTGCTGATTAATTTTTGGCGAAGGCAGGTCTAGCCGTTCCGAAGATACGGGGCAAAAAATGCCAAAAACTGTAACTCAGTTTTTAAGACAACGGAGCGTCCGATTTTAATAATTCAAAAAACTTTTTACTTGTATTGACAAGATGAACAACTGATCAAATTTTTGGGAAGGCAAGTTTAGCGGTTATGGACTCTCAATAAAAATAAGTTAAATAAAATGTCATTTAATCAAAATCGGCGGTCAAAAATTTTTATATCAAATTATCAGATATTTTATAGAGATTTTAATAATGTTTATAATAAGTTTTAGTTAAAGTTTATTTAGAATATCTGATAATTTGATGAGCATAGAATGCAAGCATCCTTTTCTCAACTCAAAGGACTATTTTTAGTGGTTTTTCCTCGGAGATTTTGCTGCAGCTGATCACGTATTTACTAAGAATCAATGCACCCTGTGCATTAAAAATATGTGTCTACTATATTTTAACCACATATACTCAAAAGCATTTATTTTTTTATCAAGTACGTAAAAACTTGCAAAAGGCCTTGAAATATAAACATTTCACCCTACAGGAAAAAAAAGAGCTACTGGAGAAAAGTCTAACAAATTAATTGTTAGAATATTGTAAATTCTAACACCTGTCTGATGTTTGCATTGTAATATTATTTAAGCATTAATGGTTTGTTTTCAGGTCATGCCAAACAACTATATCGCATCTGTTACTTTGTACAGAAATCAATCTAGTTCTACAGAGAACATGGCAAAGCAAACATCAATTCATAACTCGGCATGACCATGGCTCTCAACCACTAGACTGGTTCTGTCCGGCAGATATTGGCATCCTGATATGTCATGATGTGCATGCCACTTATATTGAGATTATTTTCAAAATAATAAACCGTAATATATGCGAAAATATGTGTCCATAAACTGATTAGCATTGGTAACGTATTAATTAATGGCTAATTAACTGGTTGAGGAAAACATTTATTTTAAATGTCGCACTTATTTTGATTTCTTGAATTTTCTTGCTTTTCTCTCTATACAAGAGGTAAAAGACTTTTTTTTTACTTTTGACTAATATTCATGCACGCATAGACATACTAATGTGCTAAATCGAAATTTTACCGTCTCTAATATATGTGGATGCTATCTATACTATATTATCATTATTATTATTTTTTAAATCGTTTGCTACAGGTCATAGCAAAAATTGCTTGATACGAGTTGATTCTGATCAGGTAAAATTATTATGCATCTGATTTCGTTTTTCTTTTTATTTTTTGGAGTTACTATTCACAATCCTTTTTAGCAAGATTTTTAAAAGTTCTTTTTTATTTTTTAAAAAAGACTGTCAATAATCTAATAATTTCAGTAAAAATTTAGACAGGATTGGGTGTTCAGTTAAATAATGTTGAGAAAAGTTGATTTACTAATTTAGTCTCACCGGTATTGATTTTACACTTTTTTTTAACTATTGATTTTAACCATTTTATATGTATGGCAAACTTTTTCATGAGCATTATTTACTCTATTGTCTTCCAGCCTATTTGTACTGTATATATAAAAACAGACTTTGCAATAAAAGATATCATCAATCTCTATTCAAACGAATTTTTAATGTTTTGGCTCATTTAGATTCTTATTAAATTATGATTAATTTTGTAAAGCGGTTTTTATACTCAGCCGGTCACGTATGCAGCATTAAAAGATAATAAATAAATGAGTGAATCAACTCAACATCAACAAAATTTTTTAAGTTTTAAATTATTAGTTAGTATTTATATGCTGTGCTATTAAAATCTGTTGCCTTATTATTCTTGTTTACTGTTAAATACTATAAAATACTGGAGCTGTGAAGATTGTTAATTAAATATCTAATCTATAATTACTTTTTGCGTAAATATTTGAAATATCCATAAATATGTATACAAAAAAACAATTTTGTTTGCTTGTTTCTGGAACATTATGGACAACAAAAAATAAAAAAATGCGATTTTGCACAATAATACAACAAAAAAAAATGAATTGTGATATGGCTATTGTTAGTTATTTTTTCATAAAAATAATATTTTAATATATCTATATTTGAATTTAGAGTTTTGCAGTTTGTAGATTTTATTTAATTAACTGCAAGTATATGAAGCTTCTGAAATTCATTTGCCACTTTGAATTTGAATTCTGTGAGTTTCAAATAATTACTTTGATAGTAACTTAATACATAAAAGTAACTAGAATATGTTTATAATCATTATATATAAATGTGATAGGTTTTATCATAGTGAATAAAGTAATTAGATTATATGTGTATGTATATATTTATATATTAAAGTTTAACTTTAGATATATGTATTGTTCTGATTTTAAATAGATGTTGCAGATAATTTTATATACACAAAGTAATATAAGTTTTGAAAAACGGTTGTAACAGTATTATATAAATCATATATATAATCATAAAAATGTTTATTACCAAATTCATTTTATTAAAATGGACCAAAATATGCTCACCAAAAATATTACATATTATTTCTCTTATATTCTATTTAATGTGATTATAAAATATTTATATGCAAAATATTTTCTATGAAAATGAAATACTCTGCATGTGTAACACAGGATAATGAATATATAAATAATATTTAAAATTTACATGACAATTAATTCTGTAATAATATATTATTTTACTTAAGACATGTAACAAAAATGTAAAGATCTCATTTTCATTAAAATTTACACTTATTTCTTGTATTTTTCATTTAATTTATTTAAAGGCTTTATGTATAATAAGATATTATTAATAAGAATTATAATTAATCTAACTTCTAACTTTTTTGAGACATATTAATACAGGAATAACAAACATGGCAAAACAAACTAATTAAAAATAATAAGACAAAATATTTAAAAATAATTTTCTAAATTTAGCGTGAAAATAATGTATTGCTGTTAGTAAAAGCATAACTTTGCCGTTTTCTTGATGAAAAAATGAAAATAATGTTCAAATGATATACATTTTGAGAAGCATACGTAGATCAGGTGATTTAAAAATCTTCGTTTAATAAAATTAAGGCAGCAATTGAAGCAAAAAGATACATTGCACTGTTGTCATTTTCGATACAAATAATGCTTTTAATTCGGCAAGTAAGAGTTGCTTATGTAATATTTGAGAAACAGTATATATTTATATACAGAACTGATAAAGGTTCATAAAGTTTTGAAGTGACAAATGGTGTTTCTCAAGGTTCCAACCTTTCTCATATATGGTGGAGATTTTAGGCTAGTTTTGCAGACGAATTAGCTATGGTAGTTGTGTAATAGCAGTTGTTATATGTGCCCATTATTTTTGTGAATATTACCATGGATAGTTGGATTTCCTCAGCAAGTTTGATGGTGGCTGTTCATAAAATAGTCGCTATGCTAAGTTTGGAGAAACAAAAAACAATCTTCATTCATATTCAATTGCTCTGGGGATACAATAGTTGTTAGAATCACATCGGATATTTATCGGATAAGGAGTAATCAATGTTAACGTCAATCGAGGTTTGTCATAGTTTATAAGATTTTAACATTATCATATGTTAGAACATTTTTTTTATTGTATTTATGTTTCAAGATCTTCTGATCACTTTGCCAATTTTGGGTTAAATGAAATTTAATCCCAAGAACATTCAATTGGCGTTATTGTTATAATTACGTAATTATATTTTTATGATTTTATCGTCTTGTAAAATCATAAAAAGCTTTTTAAACTTAACGGAATGAAACGCAGCAATATTCAATCTGTTTATAATTTTTTAATAAGTGAATTGAAATTTAATAAAAAAAAAAACAACGCAGTTTTCTTATTTAACATTTTCTAAATACTACAAATATTCAAATCGGTTGTTTTAAAATTTCTTATCATTTTAATTCATCTAATAATCCTAAAACATTGTAATATCTTAATAATTAAAAATAAAATAAATAATTTTTACTCACAAATAAAATAAATATTTAGTAAATAAGATACAGTGATTTTTTCTGTTAAAGCTATTATCTGCGCATTTTTTTATAAAAATACACGAGACAACGTCTTGTTTTTCATCATTATTCCTTTTAATGATTCATTAATATCACATACAAAAATATAATATTTCATAAATACAAAATTCATATGTTGAGAAGAACTTTTGTAAACACACTAATAACATACTACATAAAATTTTTTTTTAATTAAAATCTGTCCATATTATGAGGACTTTTAGTAATTTTCGTTGATTGATATGCAGAATGTGGCTTATTTTTGGTAGGCAACAATAGACCTTATGATAAATGAGTATAATAATGTATTATAAGGTCTATGTAGACAAGCCATTAGTTGTTCTATCGAGCTGAAATTAATAACGATAAAAGGCATTCGCAAAATATTGGGTTTCTATGCTTTACTTATTTGATTATCAAATTGTTCACAAATCTACATTATATTATGTATTACCATAACATAATATGATAACAGAAATTCCGCACTGATGCTCTCCAGAATTTTCAATCAGATTTCAACGGATCATTTTTTTATATTTTTTATTTGAAAGATTTATTGGCATTAATATATTAAAGTAGTTTTTATTAACTTTTCGCAGTATAAGTTTCAGAATATTTTTCAAGATTTCATAAAAAATGCCACAAAGCACATTTTAGAAAATATGGATGAATGTCTTTGTGTATGTAATATGTGTGTATGTTTTGATACAATATTTCGTCCACGATTTCGAGAACACGGATCAATTGATTTGATTAATTAAGAAAGCATTCATTTGTATCGACGTGGAGACGTGTTGATTAGTTTCCAGCAAAGGCAGGTCCAGTCGTTTCGAAGATACAGAGCAAAAAAGCTAAAATAGCAATTTTTGAGAGAACAGATCATCCGATTAGAATGAAAAACATTAGATTTTTGATTGAGTGTCAGAATGGTGCCAGACTCGTTTTTGGCAAAGTGGGTCTGAGAGATACGGAGCAAACGGTGTGAAATTTTGCAGTTTTTGAGAGATCGGGGTTCCGATTAGAATGACTCAAAAAAACTCTCGATTCGTATTAACGAAGTAAAGATATGATTAGGTTTTAAGAAAGGCATAACAAATCAGTTTTTTTTCAATTTCAAAATTATCAAAATATAATTTTTGTTTTTTTTTGTAATATCGGATTTTATTAAAATTTCAGAAATATACAAAGCTCAAAACCTATCCTTCAAAGACTCTATTCTTAACTTATGTAGTTGAAGACTTCAACTACATAATTTTGACTTTGTTATGCTTCGAAATGTTTGTATATTATACATGCGTTATTTTCATCCATTTTAACACGTCTCGATTAGGTTTTTTCATATATATGTAGGAGAACGGTTGCACAGCCCTGGCGCAGGCAAGTTTTTTGTTTCTTGAAAACATACATAAAGGTCAATGCCCAAATATAAGCATTTATATTATATTAGATGAATAAAATATAAGATACAATTCTTTTTGTTGCTCAAATATTCAATTACAGTGTGTGAAGTTCCAGCAAATTGATTTAAGGCACAATGCCATACACCGGAACTTTTATTTTTCACTTTTACTTAAAATGAAGAATTTTTATGAAAATTAATTCAGAATTTTTATGATAATTAATTAGTTCAGATATATTTTCATAATGCTAGTTCAGAAATTTTTTCTGATCACACGATAAAACTAAACTAGTGGGGTGGGTGTCATCGTGCCTTAAGGCAAATTGCTGGAACTTCTCGTACCGTAACGAAATGTTCGAGAATACTGAATGTTTTCATATAAATTATTATAAATATTGTAACATTGTCTAATATTTATAAGAATTATATAAACTGAATTGCAAAGTTGAAATTATTTGTTTAAAGTATATTAGAACTATAGTCAAAATTAAAAATAAAATCTGAATTATTTTCGATATACAAAAAATTAAAAAAAAAAAAAAAAAAATGAAACGA